ATACTCTTGTAGCAGAAGGCAATAAATAATATTGAAATACATATACAATTGCAACCGGCTGATTGCGCGAGTATTTTATGCCAACAACTGAGACTAGTTTTCTATCTCTTGTATATGGTATATGATAGAAACAAAAAACTGCAGCAAGAAGCCGGTTGCGCTGCAATTGCACAAAAAACTAGTGATATTTATGTATATGTGTATGTATGTAGATTAACCCATATACATACATACAGACTACATATAATATATAAGTATATGTATATACTAAAACGAATGTATTTATATAATTTCGCTGTGTGCGTGTATAAAAATGCACAACTCTTCAAAATACGATTTGTTTGGTCGAAACAGCCGAAAATATGTTACTTGTAGAAAAGTAGAACTATTCGCCGAACAAATATAAAAAGTTGAGTCAAATGCATTTTTGACATTAAATTGAAAATACTGCAATCGTGTGTAGCACACAACTACATGTATGTATGTATATATTGATAACCAAAACTATATATAAAAGTACGCCTGCTTTCATCAGGTATCTACGAATTTATATGTATGCATATATTTACAGTTATGCTATATAGCACTTCACATTTGAACTCAATTCGCGCTTTTGTTGCTCTTTGGCTCCCTTTTATTATTGCATATTTTGGTTGCCACACATTTGCAAGCCAATTTTGCCTAAAACTCCACTCAATGGTCAAATCTTTGACACCGCACTGCATTATAGCTTCACACCTTGCACATCGCGCCGTCTAACTTAGCGCTTACTTTATGCGTCTGTATGTATTTGCCAGTTATGCCCATATGATATTAAAGTTTACCTTAATGCTCAGCCAAATCTACAAACATATCTACATACTTAGGCTTGTATATATGTATACATATATATAAAACATATATACAAATATATGTATGTATAAGTTTTTAGTTTTATTTGTGCTGACTCTAACTCCCTGTTTGACTCCGATTCCACCACTTCAATCCTCTTGCATCCCCCTGCTTGTTGTTTGCTTCTACTTCACCTATGTTTGGTTGTGTGTGCTGCTGTTTTTTGCTTTATGGCAATGGAAAATTTTCAGAAAATTTCATTGCCTCTTTGCCTCAACTGTTTGCCGGTTCTATGCCATACACACATATGCTTGCACTAACAAACACATGCACACACACACATTTTCTTGCTTACAAATGGTTAAATCAGTTTGTCTTGCCGGTCTTACCTAGCTATCTAGACAAGACAGTTTCACTACACTTTGGTGCTTCGTGTGGCACGGTGTTTGCTGTGCATTTACTGCTACACAAACACACACACATATATGCATTTTTCTATGTACATATATATAAGCACATTAGCCGCAGCACCGCTTGCAGTTAGCAAAACCGGCGAAGTTTCGAGTAAAACTTGCATTCGAATTTGATTTTTTATGTCAAAAATTTAGAAGCAAAATAAAAAGTCAGGTTTTTTACAATTTTCATATTTATTTTTATTGTAATTATTATTTTACGCTTCCTTTCTTATCGAAAATGCTTAAAATATATTTTTTTAAGATTTAAATATACATTTATTAAATTTTTTTATGTATCAGTTAAAGTCTTTTATTTGAAATATAAATAAGTTCACATGAATGTTAAATAAACTTAAAAAGTTAATAACGATTTTTAATTTTTTTCTGCTACTGTGTAATAATAACAACTATGTTCCACTATTTACCTGCAGCTACGTTATTTATCTGAAGTTGTCAAATATTAAAGTATATATATGAAATTATAAATATAGTTGTATTGGTATGTTTATATAGACTTTTAAAACACGTTCTTTAATTTTTCGTATATTTTTCGCAAATTTTTAAAAATTATTTAATTTACTTGAAAGTTTATATTATAGTTGCGATGGCTTTAAAGTAAAATTTGCTACAAACGTAGTATATTATTTATAAAATATCAGCTGAATAATTATACTAGATGAGTAGGAAATTTCTTTAATTTTCTGCAGAAAAAAATGTATGGATTAGCTGGAAATTTCAATAATTTTCTAAACAAAAATTTGTTAACTAATATATATGTACATGTGTATATGTGTGTACATACATGTATTTCCGCATAATTAATCTTTTGGATGACAAAAAAAAATGTTTTTGTAATTTTTTTGTATATTTAATAATTTATGTTTCAGCATAATAAAACTTTTAGACAAAAAAAAAATATTTTTTTTAATAATTTGATTTTAATTAGAAAAAATTTTATTTGTTATTAAATTTATTTTTAATAATTTGTGTTTCAGTTTAATAAATAAATATTTTAAACGAAGAAAAACTATTTTTCTTATTATATTTATTTTTAAGAATTTGTGTTTCAGCTTAATAAAACTTTTAACGAAGAGAGACTAATTTTTAAATATTTAATAATTTAATTTGTTTTGTATTAAATTCTGTTTTAGACTAAAAATTTAAATGAAAACAAAACTGAAAATCCCATAAAAACTATTAATTTTAAAAATTTTGAATTAAAAAAAAAATTTTAAATAATATAAATTTCTTAAAATAATTTTAAAAATTTGAATTAAAAATGTATGTGAAAATTACAAGCAAACTTTTTGGTTTTCAAAAAAAATCTACTTGTTATATTAATTTCAGTATTTTGTTTTTGTAATTTCTAAATATTACTTCTATATTACAAATTACTTCTTTATGCATAATAACAAGTGAATAAATTGCACCCGCTTAATACTCTGATAATTTTTGCTTCAAAATTTAAATAACTACTATTTATAGACCTAAAAGAATATATTATTGAAAAAAAATCATACAGAAATATTGAGAATATGGAGATACAGACTAGTTACTTTCTGAACATTTTGAATTTTTTACGTAAATTTTGATGCTATGTGAAAAAGGTGTGCATACAAAAGTTGTATATTTTTAAATTACCTACAACTTTGTCATATAAGCTTTTTATATAGCACCTGTAGTTTTGTTTTGAAATCGATTTAATCCTTAAAAGTTCAATCACGCATCTACGCCCTTAAATTATTTTTCTTTTAACTTTTGTTCTTTCATCTTTCGTTTCCAATGGTTTTTAAGCTACGATGAAATTCTTTCTCTTTTTACAATTTTCAAAGGCTTTAGCGCTGGTCTAACTAGCGAGTTTTGAAGTTGAAAAACACATTAATCAAATAACTTAAAACACAAACATTGTTTTCAAAATGTATTTCGTAACTGTAATAACAATTTTTTAACTGGAAACTTTAATAATATGCATATAAATTTTTGAATTAAAAATTAATTAAAATTGCATATTACGTAGAAAAAATATATATTACACATGGCAAGCGTTAAATTGAACGTAATTAAAAAGCCTTGCGCAAATTATAAATTAAGCGATTTCTTAGACGTTTATAAATGTAACAAAAACATCAAAATTTCGCCAAATAATTATTTGAACGCAGTAAATGCAAAAAAGGCCATTCAACAGCAAGCAAAAGCTGCCTGTTAAATGCAAGCGCTCTTTGGTCGAGCTGATAGCAGCGACAAGCCCCCATTCAGTCTCATAAGATGTCAATCTAAGCGAAAATAGACATTTATAGGCAGCCGTATTCATACATAAGCATATACTAATATAAAAATGCAAACCAATTCGTTATCGATATGCACGTCTTTACATATGTATGTATGTATACACATAGGCTGTGTTGCATTATTCAAAATTATAAAGACTTTTTTAAACCGCCTGCTAACCACTACATATACAAAACTCACTTCATTTCTGGCTAACTAGTTTTATAAACAATAATACAAGTATTAAGCAAGTTGAACTTTTATATACATATACACATATACATATGTATGTAACTAGCAATTTACATACACACACATATATGTAAATTTGTATGTATGTGTATGCGCCTGTAATCGCACTTATAATGATTATTATGATTATCACAATTACTTTATTGTTTACTTTTTTCATCGCCAATGTCGCTGCTTTGCAGTTGTTGTAGTATCGGTTTTTCGCTTTCACCCGCACTTTGCCTGCAAACCCGTTTTTCGACGCGACTCGATCTTGATATATTGCTTTCGCATCCTGTTTGTATTAACTTTCAACAGCAAACAAAAAACAAAACCAAAAAAATAAAAATAAATATCACAGCTGAAGTATGAGTTCACGGCATGCAGCGCAAAGGGTGCGATTAGCGAACTACAACACCAACAAGCAATCACATTTTTATTAAACATTTTAGTAAATTATTTTTTCTTCAACTTAATTTTTTCACGTAATTTTGCAGTTTTACAACAGCGTCAATTGTTGCTGGCGTTTTGTTAGTTCGTCCATACCGTCAGCTGAACTGCCCGGCATTCGGCTCATATAATCGCGCACGTCGTGCGTGCGTTCGTACGCTCATTCGTTCTCATCCATTGCGCGGCTACAAAATGTCTAAAAAGATGACACTCTTTCCGGCTGTAAATATAGTACATAATGAAAAGTACATATACGAATATGAGTGCGGCAACAAAAACAAAACGCTGTGGAAAATCGTTCTCGACAAATGTAAGCCATCTACGCTCTGCTAAGAGTCACGTAGACCGACCGAGTCATATACTCAGTCAGAATAAAAAGCAAGCAAAATTAACAGCCGCATGCGATGACTGGAGCGCAGAGCGGCGGTGAGTGCGTAACCCCAAGCTGAGTTGAGCTGTATAAGTATATAGAGAGCGTCACCAATAGCGAGTGAGCGTTTGTTTTTTAGAAATAAAAGTTACAAGTAAATAGGTAAGAGAGTTGGAAAAAGTATAGCAGCACTATGTACTTGTATTATATATTTTACGCTGTAAGTAGGTAAAAACAGCTGTTGAAGCGCTATTTGCTGGGGTGCTCATAACCCACTGCGTTGATGTGGAGCAGAAAGCAAAGATCTTAAAGTTAATGTAATGATTAAAAAGTAATCTAACAGATTAAAATGTAATTAACATACACCAAGCTCATGCGATATCGAACAGAGCTCCCCCTTTATCAGTCAGCAACACCTGTGCAGTTGCCGCTTCGAGCCACTGTCGTAGAAATGCTCAATTTCCGCTCAACAATTTTCGCTAGTATACGCTCTCTTATAGCGTTGCACACACCGCTGCCGCCCCTTTCACTCAAATGCATATGCATAAACGACACTTTGCTATTGTAAAATTAAATTGTACTTTCATCATCCTTGCACCAGCAACAGCCAACAAAAACAAATAGCCCAGCGCTGGGCTACAACGTCAGCTGAAACTTACAACAACAACAGCAATAGCTGTACATACTGACAACAATAATTGCATCAGCAAATGCATCTGAATGCACTACCACAAACACAACAACAACAATGTGTACCTGTTTTTCTTGCCTTCTCCACTAACTCACACCGATTTGTGCGACGCTCAGCTGTTGAAAGAGCACCACACTGCATATACTCTTATGTACTTGCACTGCACATATGTATGTAAATATGTAAAAGTATATACCGGCTATATATGCAATTATGAGTTGTAAATAAGTATAAGCGCTTGTATGTAAGCATGCTTGTAGCTTTCAAAACGATTTACAAGACAATAGCACTGATTCTTTTGTGCAGATTCTACAATATATGCGAGCGTGCAACAACAACAAACAACTCGACACAAATTAACACTTGAGTGGGGTGGCTGGCGGAGAGCAGCATGAGCGTCAAAGCAAAGACTCTCCTGCACATTTGTAATGCTAGAAAGCCAGCAAGCGCTCTTTTTAGCCACATTGAGCGATTGGCAGTGTGAAGAGCTAAAAAGCAAGCAATCAGCCGCACACCGCAACGCCAATAGGTCGAACGGTTGCTACGACAAACCTTTCTGTACGTGCGTGCGTCTGTATATACACGCTACGAAGGCAACAAAAGAAGAGTATCGGCACAAAGGTGCGAGTATACGAGGTAAATGAGCGCAATATATATACACACACCGGCACACACACATACACATAAGCTATATGTATGTACGCTACACAGCACAAATGTATGAAGCAAGCGCTCATGCCTGGCGTGTACGTGCCTCCAATTGTACATATCTACTCAACAGCGGCCGGCCGCTAGCAAGCTATTCAACTGGCTGCTTGGCTATGGCGACCGACTCGACGAGCAGTGGCGAGCGGTGAGCGCAGACACATTGGGAAAAAAGCAACTCAGGAGCAAACCACCACCGCGGGTATAAATAAGCGACTCATGCAGCCGGTTTGGCATAGTAGCTTCGAAACACTGCAGAAGTACACAACTGAAACGGAATAGTAACTGAATTAGAAGCGAGTCAAATACTTACCTATTTGTAGAAAGTGTGAAGAACGCGAGTTTTATGCCAAGATACAATTAATTAAAGTAAAACAGAAAGCAGAAAGCAACACAATTGTTTCGAGAAGAATTCTATCTACGTTCTAGTACTTATTTTTTTTTTATGAAAAAGAAGCAAATCAACTGAAGGAACTCTGTAATTTTAAACTAAAATTTAAACACAAAAAAAAAAAAAATTGCCATCTTAAAAAAGTTGTTTAAAACAAGCTGAAACGGACCAACGCCATTAAAGTGATAATTTAACAAAAAAAAAAAAGCAAAACAAAAGCAAATATAGTTAAAGTAAAAGCAGAATCAAGTGCTGTGATTTAAAACTACAAAAAGTTAATTTAATAATTTTTTAAATATCGGCATTGGAAGCCAAACACAAATTCTCCAATGCAGCAGCAAGCAATTCAACAACTTAACACTAAACGGAAATTCAGCGAATTGTGATAAAGCGAAGGCGCAGAGAAGAAGTAAAAGCTTATTAGAACTTTTCCAAAAAAGTTATTATCTTTGGACAAATCAAAGAACTGAACGCAGTCGTTCAAAAAGTGATATCTATATATATATATATATATATTTGTATATATAAATAAGCAACCAGTGTGATTTCGACTGAGATTTTCCTGCTGAAAACCGTACGCCAGTCGAAATAACTGCAAAAGAAGAGAGAGGCCTGCCTGTGAAGTGTGAAGCAGCGCTCTACCACCGAAAGCAATTTTGTTTGAATCAAGTTCAATTCTGAAAAGCAAATAATTTAAATGAAAATGGAAGTACTTGCGGTGCAACAACAATACCAGTCGAAATACAACATATACGGGTCCAGTAAAGTTAGAGGTAAGTTGAAAATACTTGAAAACACGCGTACATTTCAATTTCAATTTTTCGAGAAATAGCTCAAAATTTTAAATAAATATATTGCTGATAGCACTTCGAAAACAATTTTAAGCCAAATAGCTAAGTTTATTAGCCATGATTTATGGTTTATTTTAGACATTATCTTTATAAACACTTGCAGTAAAAGTTAATTTTTGTAATTGTACTTTTTCAAGGCATTATAAAATATACTAAAAACTTAAAGAATAACTTAAAACTTTTATAATCTAGTGAAAAAAATGTTTTTTGAATTTTTTTTTTGCTTTTATTGAAATAAAATTAATTAAGAATTGTTGCCAATGATTAAATATGCACTTTTCAAGTCTTTACTAAGCTGTTTCCCAATGTCAGTCATTTCTATGCTACGATCTCACAAATTTTTTTATAACATGACATTAAAAATCGTACGTCATGTCGCAAGCGACTAACACACCTTACGATGCTGACACTTTTTCACCATTAAATAAATTAGTAAATAACTTTGCGTGTGTAAAAAATGTGTGTAATCATTGTGAGGCGAAAATTTGCACATTAAAAGTATCTAACAGATACACATTTGCCTCAAGTGGGCGCATACACAACGCTCGCCGCCAATCAGCCATTCACCCCTTTCACTCGTGACGGACGTTGCGTTACGCACGAGCGTTTGTGCAAGTCGCCTGCTGCCGCTGCACAAGTAAACAAGCTGCAAACCAACAGCAACAACAACCAGAGCAATAATAACGACTTCGACATAACGATAATCAACGTATTTTTAATTTTTACAATTTTTATTACAAGCAGCGCTTGTTGTTGCTAAGCGGCGCAAGCACGACACCATTGATTGTGTGCACGGTGTGATGGTGGTAGTGTCGTTCGTAGTATTGGTAGCATACAAGCGCTATTGACGACGATGACGACGTCGGAGGTGGTGCTGTTGGTCGTAACGGTGCTTGCTCGTTCGTTGTTTGCTGTTGCCATATGTATGTGTGCATGTACTCACCCACATAACAGTGTGCGCTTATAAAGATATGCCACTCTTCAGCATACTTGTTATTCGAGTGCATAGATACGAGCTCGTAGACACATATACATGTATGCATATGTGTGTTTGTGCGTGTGTGTGCCAATTTCCATGCCGCACGAACATTCTCGAATGTCTATTTGCCTACATATTGTTTATTTTAGTGTATATAGTAGTTGTTGTTTCATGCCCTTTGAATTAACTTTTATCTACGAAATTTGCTTGGGCTTAAAATTGTGAAGTGCAATCATAAAAAATAAATTATTCAATTAAAGCGTTTAGGGTATTAAATTGTAGGCAGAAAGCATATTTATCAAAAATATTTACCATTCGCTAATCTCTTGTTTATGTTTACTTTACTCTGTTTCGCCCACAGATTGGACCAGCACATTGTCGCCACTGTTGCCGCTGGCGTCCAGCGGTTGGGTCGACGCGGAGCCCGTGGTGGCCGCCACCCCGCAACCGACCGCCAGCATACCCATACCATATCTGCAGAATCAACAGAATTATCATATTAGCAGCAACAACAATAACAATAATAATAATAACAACAACACAGTTAACAATAAAAATGTGAAAAACAGTATTATGCATCATAATAATAAGAAAACCAAACGCACAGCGAGCACCGAAGAGCTGCTGGCGGTGCCAGAGGTAATGATTGCCCCACCGTCGTTGAAGGAGGTCAAAAAGGTGCCGGCAAGCCGTGCGGCATCCGCACCGTACACCTTAACACCAAACACAAACACAAACACAAATACAAATACAATCTCTGCAACACCGACAGTAGGCGGCAGCTACCTCACCACCCAGCATACACCCTCCCAGAATCCCTCAACAAATCTCTTCAACTGTGATGATATCGATGCAGCAGCCGTGGAAGATCTCTCACTGCGCCTGTTGGATGAGTTGCGCGCCGCCAAGCAGCGTCATCTCACCTGCACCGAAGTCTCCCTACCCTGTGATCTCACGCTGCGCATTGCCGCGGAAATCATACGCGTCTCCGCTAAGGAACCGTGCGGCGTACGCGGCTGCACCATCTACATCGAATTCGAGGATGAACCGAACAATTCGCGACGCATTGCCGAACTCAAATTGGATCCCGAAATGGTATCAACATTTGAGATCTACTTGACGTTGCGTCAGGATCACCGCGGCTGGACCTCGCTGCTGCCACAATTTATGAAGAGTCTGGCGCGCACAATCACCATCAGTCCAACATTCACCATCACCAAGCACAAACTTTACTCATCGGATCGCACCAGCTACAGCTATGGCAGCAGTGCGTCCGCAACGATCTCAACAACAACACCAACATCGTGAATCGAACGCGATGTGAACAGCATTAGGCAGCAGCAGCGCGCAGCTGTGGCAACAGCTCAGTTCAATGAGTTGGAGTCGACTGCGGCTGCGGCTGCATCTGCGTCGCTGGTTGTGATGACGACGCGTGGTGTGCGTAAGCGTAAGCGTGTGTGGTGGTGTGAATGCTGAAGGCTGAAGCGTTTGTTAAGTTGATCGTCAACGTACGAGGAGCGCACTCATGCAAAGCAGCACGGAACGCAGCGAATTGTGGTAGCACACGAGCCGATTTAACGAACGATATGCTTTAAGGATGACTGCTGCTCGACGAGACGACCTCGAAACGATGAAGATAAATCGAAATCGTGTAAGACGTGTTATTAAGTTAAGATTTTTTTATTATATTGCATAATGCAAGGACGAAGTGTATTCGAAACAACCCCACCTACACACACACACACACACATACATAATACACTTACAACAACAAATGGCAATATGGCACATACATACTGACAGACAGACACACCGACGCGCACACTTTACTTACAGTATCAGCGCGCTCCTCAGTGGGCCGCCTTCCACGACATTTCTCACTTTCACTTTCCTAAGCAGCGTATTTTGCGACACACACAAAACACATACACACTCACATACATACACATGCATATAATCATTTATACATATAAGCGTACAAACGCCGTTTTGTATGTCTATCTCATGTAATGACGTATAAAGTATCTTTCAATTGAAACAAAACTGAACTCGTTAGCTCGTTAGATTTTAGTAAAGCGAATACGCACCCACGAATGATCTGCATATTTAATTAAAAATAAAACAAAAACAAAAAACAAAATTAATATTACAAATAATAATTACTAAACGTTTTTAAAATTATATTTTTATGTTTAATTTTAATTTTAACAAATTTCTGTGAATGCAGTAAACGCTTCGCAGCGTTTAAGTCAATTGTCTTGAGGATCGATTGATTGATTAATTGATTTTTTTGAAATTCAAAAAATTACAGTTAATGCCTGATATAAAGGAGGAGTAGAAATGCATGAAATTTTTAGATTTCTAAGGCTGCAGCGGCGCCACATACACACACACACACACACAAGTATAGCATATATTGCATATGGGCATGTGTGTGTGTGTGTGTGTGCAAGCGCATGGCGGCAGCCAAAATCTCAAACTCATGAAATTGTGATAACACTTTAAGATGCTAAGATTTTTTAATTAAGATTACGAAGAAGTATAAAGATAAATATGATGAAGAAGAAGCAGCAGAGTAGCAGTTTAAAAGCGAATTGCAATTAAGCAAGTGAACGATTAAAACAAAAAGAAGAAAATAAAACAAAAAGTAAATGTTGATGTAGTTTGTGAGCAGCGCGCTAACTTTTTGAAATAGAAACGAGCGGCAGGCTAGCAAGCAAATAAATGTGAATGCGAAAAACAAATACTTTAAAAAGCTAAACCTCTTCAGGCGTAAAATTTGTGAAAAAAATTTTGCAAAAAATTTATAAAACTGTAAAATTAATGTGTGAAAAGCAACATATGCGATATTGACTAAAATTCAAAATTAAAAAAAAAAAAAAAAATTGAAATGTAGTTGTGACATTTGCAACAAAATTAGTATTAACAAATTGAAAGCAAAAAATTTTAAAAGTTGTAAATTTCCAAAAAAAAATATTAAATTATAAAAAAAAAACTTTCTAATAACTACATAAAAGCTTAAGATTTTTCAGTAAAAGTAAAAAATTCGAAAAACAATAAATTAGCAATAATTTGAAATGCTCACACACATACACACACACACACATACCTACAGTTGTTTCAAAATCCAAACTCAAATACAAAAAAAAAATACACTTTGCAATAGTTGGTAAAAATATGCAATAAACCCAAAAAAAAAATATGTAATATGCATTATACGGCACAAAAACAACAAAAAATTACAAAATAATAGCCAAAACACATTTTAGCCAGCAAAAAAATAATAAACAAAAATAAGAAAAAAAAATCAAACACACTTGAACACAATAGCTTAAAAATCAAAATAATCAACAAAACAAATATAAAAACAAAAGTTAAAAAAAAAACAGCAACAACAATAAATAGCCTACTCAATGCAACCGTTAGGTATGTAGCCAGTAAGCGCTACAAGATAACAGCTGTAGTAAGATCTTATTTGGCAGTAATTAAATATTTATTACAACTACAACAACAAACAAACAAACAAACCTTGTGCATGTATTAATTTTTTATTATTAGTACTATTATCATTATTATTATTATTATTACACTACAAAGAATGATTGTATTAATGTTAAGTTTTTTCTAATTACATATAATGCATTAAAACAAAAGCAAAAACAAAACCAAGCATATATTAAAAATTCAACAACAACAAATTGTGTTAACAAACACACTACATACATTTTTACCAGCACCAAAGTGCGTAAAATTTTTTTCAAAAAAACCACAAAAAACAAAAACAAAAAAAATACATAAAACAAAAAGAACTGAGTACAGCTTATGTTGCCAGATTAAATTAAAAAAAAAAAAACACAAATACATCAAAAATTCACAAATAAAGTGAGAAATACTTTTTTGTAAAAATAAATTTGCTGACTTCTCTATTGTTGGGGCATAATTTGGGGGAGCTAGCGCAGTCTTTGCAGTATGGGTGCAAGCTGGGCGGCAAGGATTCTCTTTCTCTAATTTTTCATACAACGTTGTTTTTCGCTACTGCTTGCGCATTAGTATGCGTTTTCTTTGTACGCTTTTGTGTTTAGCGTCTTGGAGTATTTAAAACATTTTTAATGGCATAACTAAACTTTTTTGAACGAAGTTTGTGCGGCTTGCAGTTGCGTCGATGTGCGTTAGTCACACTTTTTAAGCTAATTGGCGTAAACTGGATGATTAACCTACTAATCTTGTCAAAGAAAAATTGTCTGCAACCGCATTTTTCAGCTTTGTGAACAAAGTGAACATATATTGTTGCAAGTAAAATGAAAATACTGTTCTCCAATATTAATAAAGATTAAAAATTTGTTTAAGATGGCTCAAAAGTGAGTTGGTTGTGGCCGCTCTTTGTTATGAGCGACTTTGTTAGAAAACACTAGGTCGTTCGTTTTCTTAACCTAAAAGGCTAATAGGAAGAATATACTTACAGCCAACACGCGGTTAGTATTGTACTAATGCCATGAGTACGTGTGCATTTAAACGTAATTGAAATTTCGCGCTTGCGCCAAGCAGCAGAAGGTTATGTAAGTTCAGCGTAGTGGGTAAGGCCCAACGTTTAGCCACACCGCATGCTAACAAATGCATATTGAAATGCTAAGCTCTTACTTAAATATAAATATGCAGTAAAGGTAATTACACTTTTGTTTTAGCTTATCACTTCTGTCTCTGTCCAAGTATTACTCATCGTCACGTCTTACGCGACCAAAGTGTTATAAATATATAAAATGAATTATCAACTGTGAATATATTAAATATATAATATATAACGGTGCTAAAACAGTAAAAACTATTGCTTACGCAATGCAAGAATTGTCATTAGCGCTAAGCAAAGGTCCATTTGTAAATAAGCAAAAGTACAAATGTTTTAGCAAGTACCCCATGGGGTATGAGTAATTTCGACACACGCACATACTGCAGAAGGTAGAGCCATTAATTACTCATACGACAGCGCGAATTCTACTTATACAATAACCTTCGAGCTGCTGCTCAAACTCTGCGCTAGTGCGCCGCTTAGCTACGGATTTACATAAGTGTATTTAATTTTCAATAAATATGCATTTTTTCACTATTTGTAAATGCGTACGCACTCATGTATGTAGTGTAGCGTATGTGTGTTAGGGCGGAGCAGATGGTGGTGAGCATAAATGCAGTGGATCTCAAAAAGTAAGTTTTGTGTCAAAATATGTGCATATAGTTGCATATAGTTATGAAAATACTGCTCTTATTTATCTATGAGCTCTTCTATAGATATGTACATATGCGCTTGATGCACAGTTATGCTGACATTATAACTTCCTTTAAGCTTTTAGTAAAACTAATTTTTGCTCTTAAGCGTTAAATATCTTTAATGAATTGCCTGCCTGTCATCGCGTCTTTATTGCGCTCTTTTCTTTGAACGTATTTACAGATTTTTCTTTTGCTAATTTTTTTGTCCTCACACTTTTTATTGTAATATTTTTTTTTTTTTTTGTAAAAAAAGACATTAATATCTCTTTTGCTGTTTATTTAACAACCCATTTTGCTTTCATAATTGCTTCTTACCATCTTTTATTTATTTGTCATTAAGCTTTTTTTGCTTTTTATATGCGGCTTGTTCCTTGTCAGTTTTTGCTTTCTCGTTTTTCTTTCCTTTTGTAAGTTCTGTCGACGTTTTAATATCTTTGTTGCCAACGCTAGTCGCTGTTTAATTATGACGAATGACTCACTTCACTTCAAAACGCGACTGGCTAAGACTTTGCACTGCACAGTGGTGTGAAATGGCAACAAGTTTGTGTAAATTTTTGAAAAGATTACAAAATTAATTTATATAATCAATATTAATTGTTTTAAATGCAAATTAGAGCATAACAAATAGGTGCATAATAAAAATGCTTTATTTAAATAAATTACGCAGCGGAAAATATAATTTACATAGCAAAAACATATACTAAATTTTAAAAATATTTATATGTCATTTAAAGTGTTTTAAGCATCTTATTTAATATGCTGTAACAGTAGTGGAAGTAGTAAAATATTGTTATTTTCGTCAACAGGTTTATTAATGTTGTATGGATTATTGGAGTCACGTGATTATGTTAAAAAAATTTATGAATATGTGAAAAAGAATTTATATAATAATTTTTTCATTCTTATTTCATACTTATAAATTCAAATTATAAGTAGTTAAATATGTTTCTAAACGAAAAATTTAATCTCGTTTATATAGCAGATTTGCTATATGCAGTTTTAATTTAACTTCGTTCTGGTTTACAATAATTACTGCTTCTAAACAACTTTTTCAGCTGTTCATAATTAAGCAATTTGTTTTGCATTAATATAATTTATTTATGTAAGCAATTTTTAACGCATATCAATCCACTGTGCTTGCGCCGCTCTGTCGCTGTAACAGCAACTTCGCGGTCGAATTGCAAAGCTAAACAAAAACCTTACAGCAAAAGATGAATAGTGTTAACAAAAATGAAGCAAACAAAAACCAATGTGCTCCACACGACAGGTAGAGTTGCAGCGGCAACAAAAACCAAAACAAAAAGAAACAAAAATCAAGCAAACATAAGCAAAATGCAAAAACATAAAACAACGTTGTAAATTGAGTAGAGCGCAACGAAGACGAGACGTAGCGACTGTGAAAGGGCAGACGTTAAGCGAAAAAAGCAAAAATTGTAGCAGAAAACAAACAGCCTGCCAAGCCCGTCAACCAGCTGGCAATTACTGTTGTCAAGCGCTACGTGAAAAATTGTATAATTGCAAGTACTGTGCATGCACAGCCAACCAACCAGCTAACCATCCAAGCAGCCACTCAGACGCTATCGAGTCCATTGCTCAACGCGATTGCTTGTGCAAACCACAGCCATACACACACACACACACATATATATATGTATATACATATATAGTTGCGAATGAAAGATGTCAGCTATAACGCCAAGCGAAGGTACGCAGCGAAGCGCTGGCGTGCTGAACACACACACACACGCACACATAAACTTGCAGGCATAAAATAGTGCAGTTGGCATTTACATAGACGCTAATCATAAAAGTTAAAAGTTTTGCCAACTCTCTAGACAGCAGGCGTCTATTATTAGTTAACGGCTCAAAGCGGGTTTATAGAACTGACAAGTGGATTTATAGCGGACATACACGTAAGCGCATATACAATATGTATGTATATGTATAGTCGCAGTAGTCAAAACAAATTTGTTGATAAAGCTACGCTGTTGTTCCTGTTTAATTTCTGTCTAATCTCTTATTATGCTTATTACTTGTTTTATTGCCAATTTTAACAACATTCTAAACAACTGCTTATCAGTGGCCAGTGCGCGCAACTCAAAAATGTTTAATTACACCGCCACTCTCCCTCTGCTATTTGTTCGACTTGCGGAAATTCATTCACTTATGCATTTATTCATTCATACCTCACCGAAATGTCTGCATCGGCAAGTTTTCATTAATTGTAATTCAACAGTTTTCCGCTTCCACAGCTCATTTCAGCGTATCGTATTTATTTACAAGCGCGTTTTGCTATATTTGCAATATTTATGCGAAATTTCATCATATACATAAGCGCTTAATTTGCAATTTAATGTGTTTTTCTTGCATACATTTCAACTATGTATATATGTATGTATGTACATATGTATTCTAAATGCTTGCGCTTCGATTAGGTATTGCTTTTTCACACATACGGGTTTGCTCGCCGGAGCACGTCTGGGAATTTATTGACTACACCACTGATAATGCTGTATTGCTTTTAATAAAATAAAAATTATTAAATACAAAAATATATATAAACTTTTCTCATGTCCACTTAAGTACGTTTATTTGTGTGCATATTTGTGTCCATAAATTATATTTCTGATATTGTTCGCTTTTTTCGGTTTAATGAACAAGCGCTTTCGCATTATTAATCAAATTTAGTTTAAGTTTAATAAGAAAAAAACACTGTTGTTTTAACATTTTTTTTTTTTTAATTTTCTACTTTTTGTTTTGAAACCATGCAAAAAAAAAGCTTAATAATGCATGTGTATTATATATTTTTATACCATAAACAAGGGTATATTAAATTCGCCACGAATTTTGTAACACGCAGAAGGTAATGTCGGTGACCCTATTAAATATATATACAATATATTAAATATAATAAAAGTCCTGAAACTTTTGAATTGCACCTTGTATATAAATAATCAGCATGACGCGTTGACTGGATTTAGCCATGTCCGTCTTTTCGTTTGTTTATATGCACACTAGTCCCCCAGTTTCTAAGCTATCGATCTAAAATTGTATACAAAACTGTTTTCCACCAAGTAGCTGCTCATGTCTTGGACCCGGTGATAATGGACCACTATTTAAAATAGCTGCCATACAAACTGAACGTTTAAAACAAAGTTCTTGTATGAAAAACTTTTTTATATATTGTAACAAAGATATCTTCATGAAATTTGGCATGTGCTATTGTCCGACATTTCCGAGGATATTGTAAAGATCGGACTACTTTAGCATTTAGCTTGCACTGATCGCTCAAAATTAAGATAAAGCTATTTTTTATACTCTTTTTTGCAGTAAAAAATGCACCTGTGAAGGCTATTATAGCTTCATTCTTTATTTTTTATTTTTTTTTTAAATATTTTTTTTCAGTTTACACTCATAAAACCCATATTTATCCAGTAAATTAGAGTGGGAAAAACTTATTAGTAGCAGTATACTTCGCACCAGCGGAAACAAGTACGTAAACAGCCATAAATCAAGAAGCAAATCTCAGATTTTTGTAAAAATTGTAGCAAAAATATTTCCCTTCCTTTTAACAAAATATGTACGTGTATATACCAT